CCGGGTCAAGGCGCTGTTCGTACATTTTCCTGAAACACAGAATTGCTGACGGCACCAGCACTTCGCGTGCTTCCAAGCCTTGGAATGTGCGCCAAACACTGCGAGGGCCAGCAAAAATGGGCTCAGGCGAGGACGCAATTTTTGCGCCGTTACAGGCCGATGGGGCCTACCACAATGGAGAATCAAATCGAGAAGCATGTGGCAAAAATGAAAAGCTCGGGTTATACAAGGGTTACATAGGGTGTACAAGGGGCAATAGGATGTCACAGCATTAAGGATTTAGGGGTTGGAGCTTAGGATTTAAGAGCTAGGATTCAGGGCTTAGGGTTCCAGATGCAGTGTGTGGGTTTTGAACTTAGGATTCATGATTCTTGATTCATGGGTTTAGGGTGTACCCGCGGGGTGGCCACACAACCAGACATGAATTAGTTACGCTGTTCCCAGAGCAACGTACAAAAGTTTGATGCTCGAGAATAACTATCTGTCGGTTTGGCTCTATTTGGAGCTTGGTTCAGGGTTGAGGGCCTATAATCCTAAACCCGAAACCCAATACATGTTTAGGGTAGGGTTTTCTATCAGGTCCTTTGCGAAAGGTTAACAGGCCTATGCAAGGTGTGGGGCGTAGGATGCTGAAGACACCGCATGGAGAAGAACATGGAGCAGCCACGCGGTTCAGGGCTTAGTGACCAAAAATCCCCCAATTAGGACCCTATAGCTAAAACGTGTGACTAGCAAAGTCCAAACTTTGCAGGCTGGCCTGGGGTTACCGAATAACCTCTTCACACTACTTGCAAGAAGCCTGAACTCCTCAACCCAAGGGCTTAACCCTAAACCCTGAAACTTGGGTTTATGGTTGCCATGAAAACCTGGAAGAGCTGGAAACCCGAAACCTACTCCGTGAAACTGCTCCACAAACCAGCTTGAATACTTGGAAGAAGTATCTCCCTGCCATCATATGCTTGTCTCACGCAATCCGCCTGGCGCCTGACGCCGAAACTCTACCCCAAAAAAGTGCAGTCACCCAAATCACACAACTACAGGCCTAAACACAAAACCATAAAACCAACCTGAACCCCGTAATCCTTGCGGCTTCCGGCCCCCACCCCAACCCTTAAACAAAGACACGATAGTAGTTTCCAATTTCTTTTCCATTATCCCTATATAGCCCCTATATATATACCCAATAGTACTATAATAGTTTCCATTTTCTTTTCCATCATCCCTATACCCTAAACCCTATACCCTCTGTACCCTAAACCCTAAACCCTAAACCCTAAACCCTAAATCCCCTAAACCCCATACCCTATACCCTAAGCCCCCCGAAACAGGCTTGCTCCCAAGATTGCCTCCTGCTCCGCGGCTTCTTGGTGCAACTCAGCCTTGCGCCTCAAGCTAGGGTTTAGGGTTTAGGGTTTAGGGTTTAGGGTTTGGGGTTCATAGTTAAGGGTTTAGGGTTTATAAGGTTTAGGGGCTACATGTGGCTCCATTTACGTTGAGGTTTATGGGTTCTGCCTATTACTCAGCGGGAAATACTGCACCACAGATGAAGGGAATCACAGGTATACACTCCCCTGAATCCAGTATGGAACCTCACAGAGGCACACAATAAAAAGGGCAGCATCGTCTCTGTAAGGTCCTTTGTTTCAGGACATAACAAGCAGAAGGATATTCAGTTCTCCGATCAACCAGAGCTTCGCGCTGGCCATCCAACAGAATTGTCGAGATGACTGCAATAGCACCCTCGCTTTGGGAATTGGGCTTACTTGAACCCACTTAATACCAAAGAAGATAGTCCTTTCGAGAGCGCAAATCGCAAATAGTGACCAACCCAGTCTTAACCGGCGGCGAACCAATGATCAATCTAAACTTTGCAAATCAAAAAATTGACCATGAAGAAAGCCCTAACCCCTCACCCGGGGTCTTCTCATAAGCAAATAAATAATGGGTGCCTAAGAAAGGCAGGAATATATAGGGACTAGAAATAAGTAAACCTACATACATACATACATGCATACATACATACATACATACATACATACATACATACATATGGATACATACAGTTCATTCGCTCCCTGCTTACTGCAATTAAGAAACCCTCCCTAAGTAAGCACTAAACCCCAAACCATAGACCCTAAACCGTGGTAAGCTTAAAGGTTCTGTACGGACCATCTGCAGAAATGTCCAGTCTGTGTCAATTGCTGGACCTTTCTTCTAGGTTTGGGGTTAAGGGCTGTGTCCCACCTTCTTCCGTAGAATTACAACTTTCAGCGCTTTGGGAGACTTTTTTTGAGGTAACAATCAAGGAACCACAATGCCGACAGATAATAGGAGTAGCCAGTAGTTAGATACCTGAAAAACTTCATATATCCACCTGCTACCCTGCCTATTTATGAGCTGAGTCTCCCAGACTCTTGCCACTGAAGCCCTACCCCACATTACTGTGAATATGCCCCATCGTTGCGTTATGCCATCCCTGGGTTCCTTACTGAGATGTCGTCATAAAAACAGATGCAGCTTCATATTCCTGATCGAAGTGGGCGTACTCTGCCACAATGAGCATTTTTGAACTGTAGAGCAGCGGAGGGATTGCCTACGTAGGAACCTAAACCCTGACTAATGTAGTACTTTCCATTCCTTCTCCGTTGTTACGAACCCAGGCCCCCTAAAGGATCCAAAAAATCGAACCCCCAAAATGACCCCCATCACTACATTGGGGAGAGAGGGCATTATTGGAGGGTTCCATTTTTTGGATCCTTTCGGGGGCCTGGGAAATTAGCCCTTACCCCCCTAAACCCTGAACGCTTAAGCCCTTACCCCCCAGGCGTGGCCTGCTGCGATGCTCGGAGCGCCGACGATGCTCCTCACGGCGGCGCCGGAGCTCCGCGGAGAGCCGTGCCTGTTAGGGCTTGTGGTTTAGGGTTTAGGGTTTAGGGTTTAGGGTACGAGATTTGTTTTTGGGGGTCTACTGTATCTGCCTTTACAGGGCCGCAGGTCCACGCCATGGCGCCAGTTTTATAAACTCCCCAACAGCTGCGAGACATGCCAGGCGACCACGCAAAGTAATTTTCTGTCAAGGTCTGGGGTACTTCCCACCTCAACATCATCTTCTCGCTTCCCACGCTCATCTGCGCAAACACTACGACTATGATCACGCCTCCAGGGGCCTCCAGTACCCTCCTGCCGAAACCTTTCGTTAGTCAAGCGCGGGTGCCTCCAGGACCTGGGGTCCAAGCGGAAACCCTAAACCTTAAACCCTGAACCCTAAACCCTAAACCGCGTGGCTCCTGATCCAGAAATTTGGTGAAGCCAGGTGGCCAGACCCTAGCCTTAGGGCGTTTAGGGTATATGGGTGGTTGTCAAAATTATGGTCGCTTTTTGGATCCCTATTATCATACGGAGCCTAATAGTTAGGGTACCCTAAACCCTAAACCCACAATTTTGGCAACCACTCATGTAGGGTTTAAGGGCTTAGTGTTTGCCAACCCCCTTATACCTCCTGTTGTTTAGTCAAACCTTGGACTCAACTGCCTCGGATGCACCGGAGGCCCAATGAGTTTCCAGTATAGTAATGGGTGGGACCAGGCGAAGCAGGCAGGGTGGAAATGAAGGGCATGAGTTCTAGGGTTTACGGCTTAGGTTTGCAGGGGTAGGGCTTGGGATTTTGAAGGTTTGGGGTTTAGGGCTTAATTAAGCTTTATTGCATAGGGTTGAGGATTCAGGGATATAGAAATATGGAGGGTCATATGGGGTTGTACAGAAGGTCATACAGGGATATCCTGGAACCCTTTCACCAATGTTTTTTACATCCGTATAATATACGGAGAAAATTGGTGTTATGGTTTCGAAGTGTTAGGGGTTAGGGGAGTTTTAGGAGTTTCGGGGACTATTTTAAGCAGTTTAAGAAGATTGGAGGGGGGTGGAAGAGGTTTTTGGGCGTTGGGGTAATCTTCAGCGAGGAATTTAGATTTTGAATAGGGGTTAACCAACCCCAAAACCCAAACCCTAAAGCTTTTACTGCGTGCATTCAGGTTGCGGGCTTTACGTGTTAGGTCGTAGAGTTTAGGGTCAGTTTCCTGGCCCATTTTAAAGCTGCCGTTTCTTAGGGGTGTGGGGGTTATACTTTCTGCATTTAGGGTTACTTCGGGGTTGATGGGACTGAGGGTTGGGGTTTAGTATTGATGAGGGGTAAGGCTTCAGGGATTAGGGTGTTGGTGCTGCTTTCGGCTTGCCGAGAGCGCTTGAGAGTTGGGGCGTTGGGGCCTAAACCCTAAACTCTAAGAGGATTTGAGCCTCATGGCATGAAGGCCAAGAGCTGTGGTACTAGCCTCGAATCCCTCTAGCTTACGTCCCTGCCATGATGCATTATCCAAAGGACCAAAACCCCTTCACCCTAAACCCTAAACACCTACAGTGATAAACCCTAAAGACCTACAGCCCTAAATCTAAACCCTTAAATCCCTAAACCCCAAAACCCGTTAAATTCTACACCCCAGCCCCCCAACAGGGATCTGTTTCTGGGGAGCCCAGGGCCTGCCGCGCTTCGAGGTCCGACAGTTCACCTGGCCGGTCGACGCCATGTTTCGGAGCTTAGGTTTTCGCATTTTAGGGTTTAGGATATAGGGTTTTAAGCGCAGGATTTCGGTTTTAGGAGATAGGGTTGAGGATTTAGGGTTTAAGACCCAGGGTTTAGGATCCAGGGTATTTAGGATCTAATTAGGGTTTAGGATTTAGGGCTTACCATCTTGGGTTGAGGAATTCAATTTCGGACCCAGGGTTTAGGATCGAGAGTATTTAGGATCTAGGTTTTTTTTGTTAGGATCTCGGGTTTAGGCTTTAGGGTTTAAGACCTAGGGTTTAGGATCTAGGGTTTATTTCAGGTTTTCCCAAGTACAGGTAGCATTGTAGCCCCCGCTCTTAGGTATTTAGGTATTCCCATGAACCCCACAACTCAAGCCCTAATCTTACATATTGCTATAAGGGCCCGAAAATGAGCAGTTACTAAGTCCCCACAACCTAGCCAAACCTTGCATATTATATACGACTGGTCCTAACAAACCCTTTAGAGGAGCCCACATATGAGTGGCTACTAAGTCCCGTGAACCTCCAAAAAATCATCAAGAAGCTGAAGAACTTAGTAGTGGTCTGAGGAGCCTTAGTCCAAGGTAAGAAGTATGGCCCTTTGACATGGGCCTTAGGCCTTTTAGGTGGATTCTCAGGACCCTTAAAGGAGTAAGTATTTCGTGTTGGCATTATGGTTAAGGAGTTTTTGTTGCGGGATGCTTTTTTTTTTTAATTCGGGGCTGAAGTTAGGATCGAGGACCCTGACTGCGTCCCTTTAAACACCTCGGTTGTGGTCCTCGTTGCATGGGAGTTTCCAAAACAGGGGTCTCCAGAAGGGGCCCATAATTTCTGGAAATCCCACATAGGTCGTCGGAGGCCAAGCATACATCGCACGTATCATTTATGCTTTCAGGCAGTGAAGGGGGCACAATACCTAGAAATAAAGAGACCCTAACGTTAAAAATTCCCTAAACCCTATATACATATGTATATGTATATACATCCATGTGTATATGTATAACCCTAAACATTCCCAACATGAGGGACTCTTAGTAGCCTAGGGATGCATATGGTTTAGGGTTGTGCGGGTCCCTGATAAGGTTAGGGCTTCAGGTTTAGAGTTCAGGGTTTAGGGTGGATTCCATGGAAACTCCTGAGGCCCCCTGCTCGCAAGTTTTGTATAAATTATGGGGCCTTTCTCTCTACCCTACTGCGCCTTAAGCATCAAAACCCAAAACCGTTACATTGAAAAACATAAGTCCTGAACCCTGGATCCTAAACCCTAAATCCTACACCCTTGGATCCTAATTCCTACGTCCTAAACCCTACATCCTAAAACCTACGTCCTGAACCCTAAATCCTAAACAGCTAAGGGCATTCTACGTAAGGTCCTACGTACAGGTATAATTAGTAACTACCTCCCATAAACCTTCAAGCAGTCTAGTTAAGCGGATGACCAATAGGGTTATAAGCTCAGTCTTACTTAGTTGGTATCTAATGGTAACTACTTTCCATAAACTATCAAATAATACACTCCCGGAAACTAACATGGAGACCGGAAGAAAGGGCCCTAAAAAGGCTACAGTCCTATACGGGTAAAGAGAAAAATGGACGCGGTTTAAGGTTTGGGGGTTTAGGGTGTCCTTCCAAAAGGGGACTATATGGGTGTCCATGTTAGCTTGGGGGAGTGTAGGGCGTGGAGGAAGGGAGTCGAGCTGCGAAGCTGCCAAAGCCAAACCTTAAACCCTAAACCCCTAAACCCTAAAGCCGAAACCCCTAAGCCCAAAACTCATGGCATAGGCCGCCCACCTTCGCTGGTGGGC